CCCTGTCTCTCTTTCTCTTTCTCTTTCCTTTCCTCCTTCCTTCCTTTCTTCCTTCCCTACTTACTGCCTTCCCTCTCTCTGTTCTTCCTCCCGCGTCTCCCTTCCTTCTCCTCTCCGTGTCTCCTTCCCTATTTTTTCCCTTTTCTTTTTTTACCCTTCCTCCTTCCCCCACTCTTCCTTTCTTTCCACTTTCCCTTGCTTGTTTCTTCCCTTTTACAATATTGACTGAACCAGCAAACTCAGCACATTGGTGACTGAAGATTCTAATCTTAAAAAAAAAATCTTATGTGCTGATAGGTGAAGATTTCCAGATGTCTCGACTGTCTTTACTTCTAGCTGTATGGTGCTTTGTCTGTTTTCAGATAAGCTCATAATTATAGTCTCCTCTTAAGAAAGGATCTGTCATCAGTCATTTATACTTCAGGAAGAATTTGGACCCATGAATCACCTCTCCCAGGAAGATTTGTAGCTTTACCTTGAACTTCAGTGGTGAAATTATAGGCTTATATTTTAGGACCCTATTGTTGGCAAGTGATAGAAACCAATTTGAATTATTTCAAGTAAATGAAAAGGGATTTATTGGTTTACATGTCTAGGAAGGGCAAGAATAAAGCTTGCCAGAGGGAAGACAGGAACCAAGGATGTAATACTATTGACTGGCATGCCAGCTCTTTCTCTCTCTTGTCTCTCTGTATACAATCGGTCTCCGTCTTCCCCCTTCTTTCCTATGTGGCTGGAAACATGGCCCCCATCTGCTTCCGAGGCCTCTTCTTTATAGTGTCCTGACCAACTGGGAAAAAGATCTCTTCTTGTTAGCTTCACCCGGAAAACAGTCCCAGGGAAGGACTCTGATTGGCTTGGCTTGTGTCACATGTTTTATGGGACAGGGGATGGGAGATTGATTTAGCCTAGATGCCAAATCTACCCCCCAACCCCCTTGGCCAAGAGAAGTGGAGTCTGTGATTGGCAGTCCCTGCCAGACTTCTATGGTTAGCCAGGGAAGATGAGATTCTTCTAATGAAGAGAGTTGCTTTTTCATGAAAGCTAAAAGTGTATGTCTATTGTTTCTCTGTAACAAGCCTCTCTGGTGTCCGTGAGGTAGAGATTAGGCTGTGGAAAGAGGGGTTGTGTTGGGGAAGAGAACTTCTGCTGCTCTGAAATCAAGCCAGCAAGGCCCCCTAAGCATGGGGCAAAGCTTGGTTTCAGCTTTTCAGCCATTGTCTATAACTTATTTTGCTTTAAGAAGAACCACTATGCCAACTCCCACTGTAGCTTCTATTGTGGCATTGCCTTGCTCCAGGCTCAACCTGTGGGTTTACCTGTCTGCTCCTCATCACCCTGGGTACCTCATTGGTACTTACAGCATCTGGCACAGTGACTACTACTGTCCAAATGCCCCTCAGAGGAAAAAGGTCTGGTGAACTCATCCATCCTATCGAGTTAGTAATTTCCCTTCCCTCTCAAGATTGATTCTACACAGGTCACAAAGTGGTCACAGCAATGGAAAGTGAATAAGAGCATGAAGCAGAAAACACCTTCTAGAAAAAAGTTCCTGGACGTGGAAGCCCAAACTCACCTAGTTTTAAATTCCCAGTACTAATACCATGAAGGCACATAGAAGGCACCAGAAAATGCTAGTTGAGCTGTACGGTCCTGGTTCGGGCAGACTCCCCCAGAGATTTCTGCCTGCTGCCATTCATGTCCTCCCAGTGAATGTGGAATGGCCTAGAGACTGGCTTCAGAGCAATAGAACATGGCAAAGATGATGGATGTCACTCTTGTGATGAGGATACGTAAGACTTCAGTCTTGCTTGCTGACTGTCTCTCTTGCCTTCTTGGCTTGCATGTTTTGATGAAGCAAGCTGCCATGCTGGAGAAGCCCATGTGACAAAGAGCTGAGGCCAGCCCCCAGTTGACATCTGGCTACAACTGAGGCTCTCAGTCCAACAGCCTTGAAGGATTGAATCCTGCCAGCAACCGTGTGAGCTTCAAAGTGGATCCTTCCTCAGTGGAGCGTTCAGATGAGACCTCAGCCCTGGCTGACATCCTGATCACAGCCCTGTGAGAGACCCAGAAGCAGAGGACCCAGTTAAGCTGTGCCCAGACTTCTCCCCACACAGAAAATGGGAGCTAATACATGTATGTTACTTAAGTGTTGGGGTAATTTGTTACATAGGAATACATGGCTTATATGGATATCATTGCAAGCAGGGAAACTTTCTAAGCATGCCACATATCTCAATAAGAAGGACTAAAGTGACAGTAACAACAGCTACTGTTAATTGAGCAGTTGCCTGTGCAGGGCATTTGGTTAAGGCGATGAACACATCACCCCTTTGTATCCGTATTCTGGTCTGTGGGAAGAGTGCTGTTATCCCTATTCCACAGGTGAGGAAACTGAGGCCTGGAGAAGTCAGGTGGCTTCTGCAAAGTCACACACCTTGCCTACCTGGAATTTCAATCCATGTCTGCCTACGTCCAAACCCTACCTTCTAACCACTATGCCACATTGCTCTTGGAAAAGAGGGCTAGGTCATCTCCAATGACCTTTCCTGCATGTTTGGAATCATGTTAAATTAAAACAGATTCCAGAGAAGATGCATGTGCTCCTATATGCAGGTTTGTGCATTGAAAAAGATCAGAAGATAATTTAAAGAATGGAAATAGGCTAAGCACACTGGCTCACACCTGTAATCCCAGCACTTTGGGAGGCCAAGGCGGGAGGATCGCTTGAATGCAAGAGTTTGAGACCATCCTGGCCTGGGCAACATGGAGAAACCCCATCTCTATTCAATTTAAAAAAATGTAAAAAAGAAAAAAAGTAAAGAATGGAAATAGTTGTTATTTGCTGTTTATGGATTTTTGTGGGTCTAGAGGAACTAAATATACAAGGAGAAATTGACAAATAAAACACGACTGCTTAACTCGTTGGAAGAGCTCTCTAATGGTGAAACTTCAGATTTTGGAATACCTGGGTAGGGGGAGGATCCTGAACTGGGCTGTGAAGGGGAGGTTTCTTGGCAGCAACAAGCTGCACTGCAGGAGGAGATGGAGCCGCTCTGCTCGTGTGTATTTGCTGGCAGAGGAGGAAGAGGATGATCTTGGGGAGAGGACCAAGCAGGCTCTGCACTTTGGTTAGTCCTACCTGGAGTCCTACATCTACTCTGCCGGCCTCTGTTGGTGCCCTTGCAGCCCGGTTTCCCTCATCGAGGAGAGAGAATGGTTGCCTTCTTCTCCAAGGGTGGCCCAAGCCTCACATATATCCCTAAATCCCCAGAAGGCAGCCCCCAAAACTCTAGGGCTGAATAACTTAGAGAACACTGTTGGCACCTGTTCCACATCTGTCACCTACCTGGATCCTGAGCTCAGTGTCCTTCCTGCCACTCCGGAAGGAGGATATATTTGCCTGTCTTAAAGAGGATGGATCTGAGGTTCCATAAGGGCGGGGACTGCCCAAAGCCACACAGCTGGGATTGACAGCAGGTCTTCATGTTCCAGGGCCTTCCCGGGGCCTCCACTGCCAGGGTGGAGAAGCCACTGTTGGGGTGGTGTCAAGATCAGAGAGCAATTGCCTGCTACATGGCTAGTCCGTGGGAGTCAGAATTGGGATCCAGGCCAGGGAAGCCCAACAGCTCTGGAGTGAGTGAGACAGAGCTGACTTGAGTCCTGGGGTCATGCTTACTGGGTCTGTGACCTTGGCATGTCCTGAGAGGGCTGCCTATCTCTGAACTTTGGAACTAGGGTGAGGTCATCCGGTGTGCTGCTGCAACAGGGTGGTTGTAAGGATGAAAGAAGGTAACGCGGTCAGAGCGCCGAGAGTAATGCCTGATATGGTAGATAGTAAATGGTCAATAAATATCAGCTGCTAATACTAACTTTTAAATATTTGTGAATGTCACTTTCCTGCTCAAAACCGTCTCGTGGCTCCCTGTCTCACTCAGAGTCAAAGCCAAATCTTCACCTTGGCTTTCAGGGCCTGATCTGGCCCTCATTCTCTTTCCAGCCCCATCCCCCTGCCCCCTCCTCCCTCCTGCCCCCAGTCCCTGCTTCTCTTCCCTGTGTCCAGAACA